ACATGGGGCCCGTTCTTACTACACATGCCACCACTCTGGCCTAGACTGAGGGACCGGAGCTTCTTTGAAAAACTAAATCTAGGTTGAGACCTCAAGGATGAGGTCTCATTGGACAAATATATCCTTATTGGGGGAAAGGAAATCAGGATGATCAGATCACACTACCATTAAATATTTGAGTCCACAACCTTCTTGGATTCCATGTTCACTAAGCAATCTTCTAAATATAATTCATCTCCCCACAGGGAAGGAATGTACTGGTCAAGCGGACATAAACATCCTACTTACCGGCAGTTGTGGCTCTCATTATGAACTTAAAAACAAATGCCGACTTTGAGACTTTCGTCTCTTGTGAGTTGAACTGGCCTGAGTAAGCCCAGTGAGTGTGGAAGAGCAGACCCTCAGCAGTGGAAACTTCACCGAGAGATGACTGCCCCGCAGAACAGGGGACTCCCTACCCCCAGGCCTCAATGTCCACAAGGCTCATCATTAGACATTTAAGAAAACTTTATGCATGTTTTTTTAAATTTAAGTAGCTTTTAAATACACAATAAGTTACAGCTAGCAATCTATTAAACAGATTTAAAGGAAACCAAAATAGAATATATGCATTCCATAAACTAATATGAAATCACAATTAGAAAATAATTGCTTTTATTAAAACCAGCTCTGCACAATATATGCAGGAATTAAAGCCTGATCTTTTTCAAAAAGTTAACATTATTTTAGTTAAATGAATTCACAATGCTTATCACAGTGAATACAATCTGCCTTGCTGTTTTCAATGTTTTATACTTTCTATGATTGAAATAGAAGTATGTATTCAAATAATGTCAATTATATGACAAGAAAAACCTTAAAAGTTATTTCTTCTTCATAAAAACAACAACAACTGTGGAAGATAATGGGTTAATATTCTTAATAATCAAAGAGTTCTTAAAAAACAATTTTTAAAAACCTAAACCTATGAGAAAATTGGCCTAAGAAATTCACAAAAAAGAAATACAAATGGCCAAGAATACTAAGGAAAATATTCAGCCTCATCAGAAATGCAAATTAAAACAAGATACCAGATTAGCAAAGTTATTTTTTTAAGTCTTAATTAAAAAGTTGTCAAGGATTTGTTAAAATGAGTACTGTCATACACTGTTGATGGGAATGTAAATTGTTACAACTGTTTAAAAGAGAATCTTGGTAACTGAAAATTTTAAAGATTTAACTCTTTTTGTCATAGAAATTTATTCTAAAGAAATAACTACACAAACACCCAAAGATTTGCATATATACAAGAATGTTCATCAGAATAGAAAAAAAAATTGTAACCACTCACAGAATAGTGAAATGATTTATGAAACCATCATAAAATACTGAAGAATATTTAATAATATAGAAAAACAGAATGCCAAATGGAGAAAAACAAGGAATAAAACTTTATACAGTATGATCTAATTTTTGTAAAAATGTGAGATGGGTGCGTGTGTGTACGTGTGTGTGTGTATGAATTGATTAACCCTTTAAAAAAAGAGAAAAGACTGAAATGAAATACCTAAATTATTAACTGAGTAGTCTAGAGGGTGGTATTACTAGTAGTTTGTATTGATTTATCTCAACTTTTATCTCTGTTTTCTACATACGTTACACTGAATATCTGTTTGTTTCAAAATCAAGAGGAAAATATAAAATTTTCTTAAAACTGAAAGAAAAGAAACTAGATTTACTCTAGCAGTTTTAAAATAAGTTTCCCATTAGAAAAGAAAGCTTCTGGAAAGCTAAAGATACACAAAGAATAGAATTAATTCTTGCCTTTATGATTAGCATACATTTAAATAGAATCTAATTACAATCACTCACTGAATAACAACATTTTGGTCACACAGTGGACTGCATACATGGCAGTGGTCCCATAAGGTTCTAATGGAGATGAAAAATTCCTGTCACCTAGTGATGTCATAACCCATCATGTTGTAGCATTACAGCATTACACACATCACTCCCACGCTTGTGGTGATGCTGGTGTAAACAAACCTACTGCACTGCCAGTCACATATAAGTATAGCACATACGGTTTTATGTACAGTACACAATACTTGATAATAATAATAAACGACTAGGTTACCATATTATGTGTTTACTATACTATACTTTTCATTGTTATTTTACAGTATTCCTTCTGCTTCTATATGAAAAAAAGTTAACTGTACAACAGCCTTGGGCAGGTCCTTCAGAAGGCATTCCAGAAGAAGGCATTGTTATCATACCATGCATGTTATTGCCCCAGAAGGCTTTCCAGTGGGACAAGCTGTGGAGGTGGAAGACAGTGATACCGATGATACTCACCCTGTGTAAGCCTAGGCTAACGTGTGTGTTTGTGTCTTAATTTTTAATAAAAACGTTTGAAAACTAAAAGTTAAAAATAGAAAAAAGTTTATAGAATAAGGATATTAAAAAAAAAATGGCTGGGCATGGTGGCTCACACCTGTAATCTCAGCACTTTGAAAAGCCAAAGTGGGTGGATCACCTGAGGTCAGGAGTTCAAGACCAGCCTGACCAACATGGTGAAACCCCGTCTCTACTAAAAATACAAAAATTAGCTGGGCGTGGTGGGGGCGCCTGTAATCCCACCTACTCAGGAGGCTGAGGCCGGAGAATCACTTGAATCTAAGAGGTGGAGGTTGCAGTGAGCTGAGATCACACCACTGCACTCCAGCCTGGGTGACAAGAGTGAGACTCTGCCTCAGAAAACAAATCAAAACCAAAAATTTGTACAGCTGTATAATGTATTTGTGTTTTAAGCTAAGTGTTACTACAAAAATGTCCAAAAGTTAAAAAAATTAAGTTCATAAAGTAAAAACATTACAGTAAGAGGTTAATTTATTATTGAAAAGGATTACATTTTCATAAATTTAGTGTAGCCAAGTGTATGGTGTTTATAGTCTGCAGTAGTGAACACGAAAGTCCGAGGCCTTCACACTCACTCTCCACTCACTCACTGACTCACCCAGAGCAACCCCCAGCCCTGCATGTTCCATTCATGGTAAGTGCCCTATACAGGTGACCATTTTCTATGTTTTATACCATATTATTGCTGCATCTTCTCTATGTTTAGATATGTCCAGATACACAAATACTTACCATTGTGTTACCACAGCAGTCAGTACAGTACCATGCTGTATAGGTTTGTAGCTGAGGAGCAACAGGTCACATCATATAGCTTGGTTGTGAAGGAGGCTATGCCATCTAAGTTTGTCCAAGTATACTCTGCGATGTTCACACAACAAGGAAATCACCTAATGGTGCATTCTCAGAACATATCACCATCCTTAAGTGACGCATGACTGTATTCAAATGCTTATATACCAGTTGGTTCATTTAACAAAAGTATTTGTGCGTAAGATGTGTAAGATTTTGTATAGAAGCCAAAGATGAGTAAGACATAGACTTGCTTTCAAACTGCAAAGTCATACACGAACAGTTATAGTGTTGAACAGGCTCTTCTGAGAACTGAATTTCTAATAACTGGTCCTATAAAGGAACTACACAAGACAGCATAGAAAGCCGGAAAATCTGAATTATTCTCCCCTTGCAACTTTATCCGACAGAATTCCTACACTGCAAATCTTTCTTTCTACAATCCCCTAAAAGGATAAGGAGAAGGGCATAGAGAAAAGTCATTCAACACCCACTCATTGAATAACAATCACCTGTAAACACCACGCTGTAACCCTCAATCCAAACGCAGGTCCTGAATTTCCTCTTTCAATCCCAAAGATTTAGGATAAGACCTGGGTTGTGTGTATCTTTATTCACTTTGGGGGAAAATCTTTGGTACCAGTATCTAGGGTTTCTCAGCTACTTGTCTCTAATGAGTTAAAATAATTCCACAAAACTTGAAATCAGGAAAATTCTCTAAAATGTGAAATCAAAGAATCCTGACATGACCTAACTGCCAGTCCCCAATTATATATCAAATGAAAAACTATACCGGTTCAATGAAAAAACAATGATTGGTGAAAAGTGTCCCCTTATTTAGCGAAAAGATCTTGGGCAATTAACTCTGAGGCGGGCTAATTCCATCATTGAAAAATAACAGAAAAAAGAGAAAAGAGAAAAGATGCGTTTTTATAGTTCTCCTAAAAACATCTTACCTTCCAGCAAAGAAGAAACAGAGACTAAATAAAGCCTGGGAAAATGGAGAAGACCAGTTGGGTATCAGTTCAGATGTGTGCTTAATAAATGTTTCCAATGATGATCAGATGATGGGTTTTTATAGCCACTGCTCAATATTTAAGTTTCTCATTACTGATCCTGATATTATTGTCTTTTTCCCTCGCAAAATGGTAGAAGGTATTAACTGTACAAACATGGCCAAAAGCTAATGTTTCAAAGCACACCATGTGAGGACAAAAAGAAACAGAACCAACTCTGAAGCTGACAGTGCAAGAAGGAAACAATTCTAATCCCCTGGAGAACGTGAACACCATCACTGCCAGGTGATTTCAGGGACTCTTTTAACACACGGTATCCTTTGAAACTCATATTCTCCATAATTAATCCATTTGTTTCTAAAATGATACTTAATCCCTGTAATGGATTCCAGGGCTTCCTCCTGCTGTTCTAACAGTAGACTTGATTATTCACACTCACTTCACAAATCCTGTTTCCCGCTCTGTCCTCTTAGCCGAGAGATACACAGAAGGAAAATAACAACAGCAGCAATTTGTATTAGGACCTTACGGCATGCACTGAGCTAAATGCTTTATGCACACTAACAAACATAGGAAAGAGGTACCATTATCATTATCCTCAAAATGAGCACTCTAAAGCTTAGGGGGATTAGAAAACTTGCCCAAGACTTCAAAACTAATAAGAGGCAGAATTAGGATTCAAACCTGGGCTGTCTGCATCCAGAGCCTACACCTTCCAACCACCTGGATTCAGGGATTGGTTAAATCTAAGAGGAAGCCACTGCATGTTCCCAAAGTCTGTAAAGGTGCACTCACCTGCCCCGTCAGGAGTGATGGTTCCCAGTTTCACGGCTAGTGGGTAGCCCATGTCTCTGTAATGCTCCAGCGCATGCCCATTGCCCCCAGAGCTGTCAAAGAACCACTTTCCACATAGGACAGAGCCGTCAGTCAGATTCAACCAGAGGTTTTCTCGCAGGTCGCATCTGGCACACTTCCAACCACTAGAAAGCCATTGGAGAGTAGTCAGAACAGCCAGAGCATAATTTTAAAAATTAACATCTAAGAAAACAGATGGTTTCAGGTAGGCAGGTCACAACAAAGGCTCAGTGAAGTAACAGAGACTGGTGCTTCCCCATTTTCTCCCCTCAAGACATTGTTGGACAGGCGTGGTGGTTCACACCTGTAATCTCAGCACTTTGGGAGGCCGAGGCAGGCGGATCACCTGAGGTCAGGAGTTCGAGACCAGCCTAGATAACATGGCGAAACTCCACCTCTGTTAAAAATATAAAAATTAGCCAGGTATGGTAGTGGGCACCTGTAATTCCAGCTACTCAGGAGGCTGAGGTAAGGAGAACTGCTTGAACCTGAGAGGCGGAGGTTGCAGTGGGCCAGGATTGCGCCAGTGCACTCCATCCTGGGTGACAGACCAAGACTCTGTCTCAAAAAAAAAAAAAAATTATTGTTCCTCTCCCAGAGTAGCAGGATCACTCAGCACCCTGCCTGCCTCCCAGATGTGGATTAGCCCCTCCCAGCATCTCCGAGTGGCCTTTTTTACTTTTGAAAACTGACACAAAACTTCGGGCTAGGAGCGGAGCTCATTTCCTTAAAATTCCTCCATGAGGGACCGTGGAGCTTGAACAAGTTTAAAATATTAAGGATCCTGTGTGTATAAATGTCTAAAGTTCTAAAGCATTAATCACATACAGTAAAGCTAGTTTATACAAATCCGACTACAATGCAAATCTAAATTAATTGGAAAGGAGACCAACTCGACTAAAAGCTAAATGTCAACTATATGCCAAGTACCTTACAGAAGTCTCATCATTTAATTCTAACAAACACCTTTCAGCATCAGTATTACCATCTCTATTTTTACAAACGGAGAAACGGAGATCCAGAAGTAACTCTCGTTTCCAAAGACCACACAGAAGGCGAATGCCGTGCAATTGTCAGGATTCAACCAAATCAGACACATTCCTTCCTAATCAATCTGCCTATCCACCAATACCTGTCTCTCTAAACACACCGGCACCTAATAAGAGGAGATACGAATGGAGCCCAAAGAGTATTCCAGCCAAAATGTTAAAACCAAAGACTTGTAAGTTGGATTGCCCTAAAACAAGACTCTGAGACAAAAAAGTGAAGGTAAATGGCTTCTCTGGGAGGTGATCCCAGGGAAGTGGGGAAGAGAGACAAGCAAGGGTAGGAAGCTGCTACAGGATAGGTCAGTGAGCAAATGTATACTGTGGGTGACTGGGGCTCAGGCCACGTGGGGAACTGCAAGAGACAGATATCCCACCTGGAGGGGCAGAAAACTGGGGTATGAATCCACCCATGCCACAGTCGCTGGTTTAGGGCTGCTCCGGGACGAGGGAGGGAGCTTCACTCTGGTGTTTCTGACTGTCCCATGCACCGGCCTAACTGACTTCAGCAAGCAGAAAAAGCTCTCAAGCAAGCAAAGGGTTGCAAGTGCTTGCAACTGGCAGCTTCAGGGCAGGGAAGGGCTTAGGGGTATGGACTGGGCATATTCAGCATCTACTACAAAGTTACAGACAATTTTAGAGAAAAGTTTTATATTTACTTTTAATAAAAGGCATCTGGTAAGAAAAAATATAACTGCCAATTCAAAAAAGAGGTAGAAAACAAATATTCCTTTGGCCAGTTTTAGGGAGTAAAGTTCCATTCTGCTATTTGACTCTCACCTTGGAGGAATCCTGACGCCATTGTCCAGTTGGGTGAGGTTGTTGGCATATTTAGATACTGGCAATTCATTTTCCCACGTGTCTGGGTCTTGCTTTCTGTATGGAGATTTTGAGCTGAGAACTGCATCACAAGCAATTGTTACCTATAAGACAAACCCAGATGTAATATATAAAAACAGTTTGAGAAAATAACAACTTGCTAGTGAATAGCAAATTCACTGCAATGTGATTTTTAAAACTGAAGAAATGCAAACAGCACAAGTGTCACAAGAGAGAGATCCTGTCTTCCTGCACTTCCCCTGGATCGAGCTAGGTTTTGTCCCTGGCCTAGTGTTTGTAGTATTGACAATGGCACAGATAGCAAGAAACTAAATTCATTTTCTAAGCCCAAGCTTAGAGGTCAGATTTAACAATTCCTACCACTTAGCAAGCAGGGTGAAAAGTAGGAGGTGAACAATTTGCAAGGGTGAAATTAGATACAGGAATGCCCAGGATTTACCCAAGTGGTGTGTTTTCCTCATAACAAATGTACACTCAGATATCCAATATCCTCAACTCATCACACAATGGCATGTGGTCAAGGGCACTTGAATGGAATGTAAGCAGCATGGCTCCATTTCTTAATCTGGTGCAAATGTGACCCTGGACAGGGACATGCCTGGGTGTCTCTGTGCCAGATTAGTCCACATCATGAGCAAATCTGTGATGTCCTGCTCAGCACCAACTGACCACAGGGGAGGAGGAAAACAGACTCTGCCCTCTCCCTACCCGATTAATTCTGGCCATATGCCTATGACCCAATGTGCTATTGGCTTAATGCTATAAGCTGTTTCTAACTGTCTTTTAAGAACTTATATTCTGGTTGCAAAGTAAACTGGTACAGCCGCTTCGGAAAACAGTTCAGTAATTCATCAAATGGTTAAACACAGTTATCGTATGACCCAGCCATTCTACCATAGGTATATACCCAAGAGAAATGAAAATATGTGTCCACACAAAAACGTATACACAATTGTTCATAACAGCATTATTTCTATTAGTCAAAAAAATGGGGCTGGGCACAGTGGCTCACACCTGTAATCCCAGCACTTTGGGAGGCTGAGACCAGCAGATAACTTGAGGTCAGGAGTTCGAGACCAGCCTGGCTAACATAGTGAAACCCTATCTCTACCAAAAATACAAAAATTAGCCAGGCGTGGTGGCATGCTCCTGTAGTCCCAGCTACTCAGGAGGCTGAGGCAGGAGGATTGCTTGAGCCTGGGAGACGGAGGCTGTAGTGAGCTGAGAACGAACCATTGCACACAACCTGGGCAACAGGACAGAAACCCTGTCTCAAAAAAAATTTTTTTAATAAAAAATAAAAATAATGGGAACAACCCAAATGCCTATGGATATAACAAATAGAATGTAAAATAAAATGTTGTATTACATACAATGGAAATTTATTTGCCAATAAAAAGGAATGAAATATTGATACATGCTACAATATAAATAAACTTTGAAAATATATTCTAAGTGAAAAAGCCAGTCACAAATAGCAACATATTACATGACTCCATTTATGTGAAATGTCCACAGTAGACAAATCTATAGAGATAGAAAGTAGATTAGTGAGTGCCACAGGCTCAGCATGGAGGAAGGGTTGGAGGATGATGGCTAAGGGGTATGGGTTTTTTAGTGGGGCAAGAGAAATCTTCTAAAATTAGACAGTGGTGATGGATGCCCAACTCTAATATAATAAATGCCACTAAATTGTAAAAAATAAATAAACAGCAAAATTTGTAATCTACATCACTAATATCCTGCATAATGAGCTGATCGTTTTCCCCTGAGTCACAGTTTCCCATGTGTCTGGGTCCTGGCTTCTGACCCTAGAACCAAGGAAGGAACAAGAAACAATGGAGTAAGTTCCCTCAGCTGCCATTTCACCCCCACGTAGCCCACAGGCAATTCCTAGCAGCCCTGTGATGTAGGAATCGGCCTCGTGTCCACTCCAACTCCATCCCTCCTGGTCCTAGCCACCATCATGGTTCCCCCATAGCTACACAACAGCCTCCTTACCATGGTCTTCCCTCTAGCCCTGCCCCTCTTCTTTGCACAGCAGCCAGAGTGATCTGCTGTGAAAATTATATCCTATCCTTCTCCAGCTTAAAACTCTTATACTGACCACTGCTGATTGATGACAGGAGGAGGTCCCCGGCCTCAACAAGCTTATGATCCATTAGAGATCAGGACTTAATAAATATAGTTAAGCCTTTCAAAAGAGATCCTTCCATTTGTCTCCCATTACAAATGCTGTTGTATAATTAGTTTGTTTTTTTCCATTTTGAAAACTCATCCCCTATCACCTTCCAGAAATGCCCATAGAAAATAGAGCTGGGTTCACCACAAGCCCCCTCCAGGCTTTATGGGCTTGGGACATGCCACCTTAGCACTTCTGGCCAGGACTTCTTCCTTGTTCCTAACTGTGAGTAGCCCAGTGTCACTGGTCAGTAGTGTTGAGAGTTTTAAGCTGGAGAAGGATAGGATCACACTGGATGCTGTGCAGGGAAGAGGGCAGGTGTGGAAGAAAGACCACAGTAAGGAGGCTGTTGTGTAGCCTCCTAATCTTTTGAGTCTGACCTATTATAACCTCCTTGTTTGTTTCATCAACTACCCAAATCAAGTCTGTGTCCTCCTTAGGACTGTCTCCACCCCTACTAGATCTTTTATAACCGTTCTGGTTTGCAGTGCACTATGACTCTGAACAAAACTCAAATAGAATCTTCTCCTTTATCCTTGAATATCTTTCTGGGTGACAACCAACAAAATGTCCTTAGACTTCTGGGCCTATAAAACACTGATCCAGGGTTTTCAGAATATCATCCAAAATCACCTAAAGGCCCTTTTTATGGGTGACAGCTGAAGGTCAGGATCCATCATCCTGTAATCACACTGTGAACTATTTTTCCCTGGATATGTTATCTGAAGTGATGCGAAAAGACCTTGGTACTAGTCCTGGCTCCATCCCAAGCCGTCGTAAGCTTCCAGTTCAGTTCTGCACTGGAACTGTCTCAAACTGGCTCATAAGAGTCCAGCTTTAAATTTTACAAAATTCAGCAAGATGGTTGCTAAACACAGCCATTATAAAACATTAAATCATATAAACTTACAACTAAATAAAATGTTTTCAAAAGGTGACATATAATCAAAAATTCTTCACTTCCTAATTGTTTTACTGTATCTCATTATTATCTATGTGCCCTTGAGGTTTTATTTACATTCACATCAGTGGAATGCTGGAAATTCTGTATCATGGTCTGCTACTACCACTCTTTCCAACACCCCATTCAGTGATGTCACATTGACAGCCTGAAATCAGTCATGGTGGGAGTATTTACACCACGGAATCAGCAGACACTACAAAACAGGGCTTTTTTTTCCCTAGGGAGCCTGTTGTTAAACATTTACAAGCACACCACTGCTCCAATTCCTGCTGTCAAAAATGAAGGCATTGGATTTCAAGCTCTAAGACCCCTGCTGAGCTCACAGTGCTATGTCTCTGTGAACCCAGCATCACCCAGAGGTGCTTTAACTTTCTGGTAGAACCTACAGAGTCACTCTCTGAAACTGAAATTCTTCTGTGCTAAGACACTCAAAAGGTGAAGGAAGAATCACCTGGTTCGACGTTTTGAGCTCAATGATTTTTGTTATTTAACAGTTTAAAAAGAGAATTGTCAAACACCAAAAATATAGCAAAAGCATGAAAAGAAAATATAGTAACTGGCATCTTCTATGGAGATAAATCCTATCAGTTACCATCAGATAAGTCCAGGCTTTTCCTTTAATCTCCCCACCCTCATCTTCCAAATAATTCTGTCTTCTTTTTTCATTCATAATGTATTTCTTAATACTAAAAGACTCTATATTAAAAATTATATCTTGTTGGATTCAGATTTCTATGGCACTTGTCTTATTTTAAATAAGAGTATTCACACTTCAAATTACACTCCAAGTATAATTTGAAAAGGCTTTTTTATTAATTTTTTTTTAACATAAAGACTTATTCATGAGGGACTGAAAGCAAAATAATTTATCATAACATTTATTCACAATGTTTCTTCTCTTCTGACAGCAGAAATAAGAGTTATATTAAACAAGACAGTAAGAACTCTCAGTATTACAGAAATATAAGCATTAGTATACAATTTCAGGTAACGGGATGAGGTAAGGCCATTTTGTCCACTAATATATTTTATCCTTGGAAACAGCCACATGAGTCAACATGGAATTGGAGAAAGCAAAGGTAATTTAATTCCGTGTGCCCTACTGAACACTGTGCACTTAGCACTAAAAGAAGAGGCACAATATTAAATATACACAAAATTCTCATTTCTATGGTCTTAGATATAAAGTAGATTGGAGCAAAAGAGAATGAAAGGTGGAAACCTAGTCCCTAGTGACATGGAAACCCCAAGCACAAATGCCCCCTCTTGGCAGGGACAAGTGAGCAGATGGCCACAGAGAGAGTCATGCAACGTCCAGAAGACTCTGGGACCTTAAGAGCTGGCTTTGGTTCTGGCATGGTTTCAGGAGGGAAAAAATGAACAGGCATGTCTAAACTCAACCCTCCCTGACCCCACTGCGATCTGTGGCCAGGCTCTGGGAAGTCAAGGCGTGCATAGAGCGGAAAGAGGAAACGAAATGGGAGACCAGGCCGGACGCGGTGGCTCACGCCTATAATCCCAGCACTTTGGGAGGCCGAGACGGGCGGATCACGAGGTCAGGAGATCGAGCCCATCCTGGCGAACACGGTGAAACCCCGTCTCTACTAAAAATACAAAAAATTAGCCGGGCGTGAGGGCGCCCGTAGTCCCAGCTACTCGGGAGGCTGAGGCAGGAGAATGGCGTGAACCCAGGAGGCGGAGCTTGCGGTGAGCCCAGATAGCGCCACTGCACTCCAGCCTAGGCGACAGAGAGAGACTCCGTCTCAAAAAAGAAAAAAGAAAAAAAAAGGGGGGGGAAAGAGGACGAAGTGGTACAGGCAATACAGGAAATGAGCAAAGAGTAGGAAAAACAGTTAGGGTCCCCACGGGAACTCTGTGCCCACTTCCAGCATGCGAGAATGAAAGGAAAACAAAACCTGGATTCCCTATATCACCACCAGCAGCTCCAGCTTCAAGTCATTCAAGAAAATTAAGGTCCGTCCACAAAACTGGATTAGAAAGAAAGGAAAAGGAAGAAAAGAGAAGGGAAGAGGAAAGGGGAAGCTCACAGTTCAAAATATCTAAAACCTAGAAAGTAGTCTTGGTTCACATAGGGAGTAAAACTGAAAAGAAGGTTCACTTAATCCCAGAGCTCCCAAGACCTGTAGTTTGTAAATGCCTGCTTCTTTTTGTAACTGCATCGCTATTGTTTCAGCAGTGGAACACTTCTATTTTTTTCCAAACAAAATGTTACATGGAAGGCCAACATAATAAACATGATAAAAAGACTGTCACCCTTCTGATCAGAAAAGTCCTTCTCCAGCAGTCCCTGTAGATCTGGGGTGCAGAGTTTGAAAATCTAAGGAACAGACTGTGATTTAGGAGGCAAGAAGCCAGCCCAACCTGGAAGAGACCAGCCTAATGAGCAACAAAGTCCTACCAGCACTTGAAGTAAGAGACAGCAAAAGGCCCAGCACTACTGAAATGTAAGCCTGCAAGACCCCTGTCACAGAAGAGAAGAGGTATGTGCATATTCATGCTCATTCTCATCCTCTTCTTTCATTCAACCCGCTTTTCCCACCCCACCCCACCCCCGCACACACACACCACACACGCACACACACCTGACACAGAGTCACGCGCATCTAGCTAGCAGCCGTGCACACTCACTGACCAGGGCTGGTAACTCCTCAATATTTGGTAGTGCTATTTCATAGTGATCTGGGAATATAACAAGTTTGGCTTCATCTTCATATTCATAATCGTCGCTATTTAAATCGTCATCAGTATCTAGATCTGAGGAGAAAACAAAAACAAAGAACAAGAAGTGAGGAAAATAACATCCCACACTATGGCAGCACTCACTGGGAAAGCCAGAAATCCAAGGCGATGAAATACCAAGGGTGTGACATTTACAATTTTCTCCTCTGACAGGACCGTCCATCTGTCCTAAACCACCAATAGCAGGCCTTTCCATCAAGTTATGAATACTTATATATCAGTGACTGATGTATGAAGAAGACTGAGCCATTTCATAAAGCTTTACAGTTAAATTAGACAAATGTGCAAGACACTCAATTCTCAGACAGAATTTCTCAGAAAGAAAATTTCTTAGAAACTCTTAAAAAGGAAAGGACTGGTAATTACGATGTGTCAGGTACCTGGTTCCTGATTTCATAACAATAGGCTGGAATGGTGGTTTGGTTTCTTAGGGGTTTTTTGCAACATCATAATATGAAAGTATGGTTTTAGAGTTGATAAACTTAGGTTCAAGACTAGCTCCAAAACTTCATGTTACTTTGGGCAAGTCATAAACTCTCTAAGCCTTAGTTTTCTCATTTGTAGCATGAAGATAATAGTATGTATCTCACACAGTTTATACAGGAGATAAAGAGAACAAGAGGCTTGGCATATAATAGGTAATCAATAAATGTTAGCTATTATTTAAAAACAAAATCTCCCTCTTGCTCTCTCCCTCTCCCTCTCTTAAAGTGTTGAGTTACTGCATAGTAGACCTGAGGGGGAAGCCCTATAATGTGAGTAGCCATATTGTCCTCGGCTGTGGAGAATTCTCACTAAGGAAGATGAGCTCCTCTAGCCTGTTATCTACCAAGTCGTCCCTTCTTTGCGTGGTTCATCTCTGGTAAAGGTTAAACGAAGGTTCAAGGAAATGTCTTGTCACAATATTTATATGGACATTTCAGCATCACTTTCACAGGGATGCCAGCATCCCAGATCATGTTTGTATATTTAGGCTTGGAACTATGGTGACAAAGAGCTAGCGAGTTATATTCCACTCACATGCACACAAACCTACACACAAATAGGCACAAGAACACACACAGAAACGTGGGCTCTCTAGACAGAAGAAAGTTATTTTACTTAATGAAGCAGCCACCTGAGAAACAAAGGGTCTAGATTCTGTTATTACCTTGTAAAACCTAGTATATATTTGTGTACAGTTCTGCTCTTAAATTCCCAAAGCGATCGCTTCTCAGCCTTTTGGCTAAGATCAAGTGTAAATTCCCAAAGGTAGGGCAGTTTGTAGTGATAAATAAATAAATAAACAAGATACAGCCAAAATGCAGTCTAAGCTTTATTTTTTTTTTTTTCTTTTGAGGCAGGGTCTCACTCTGTTGCCCAGACTTGAGTGCAGTGGTGTGATCATAGCTCACTACAACATCAAACTCCCAAGCTCTAGCTATCCTCCTACCTCACCCTCCTGAGAAGCTAGGACTGCCAGGCCTGGCTAATTTTTTTATCTTTTGTAAAAACAGGGTCTCACTATGTGGCTCAGGCTGGTCTCAAATACCTTGCCTCAAGCGATCTTCCCACCTCAGCATCTCAGAATGCTGGGATTAAAGGCATGAATCACCACACCTGGTCTAAATGTTTTAATAAAAGATTTTAAATTATAAGAGTCAGAAATACCAAAATAAAGAACCAAACCAAACAACATTACTAGATAGCCATAGAAGTGAGGTTCATTTGACAAAATGTAATTTTAAAGAAGTTTAATAAGTAAAGGCATTAATGTAAAGCATATAATTCAAAGAAAGATTCTATATGTTATAAAAATGTGAATGCTTCAATATTTATAATTTTTTTAAGTTGGAATCCAAATGTTTAATTTAAAAAATGGTATTCAACCTGGCCAGGCATGGTGGCTCACATCTATAATCCCAGCACTTTGGGAGGCTGAGGCAGGTGGAGCACGAGGTCAGGAGTTCAAGACCAGCCTGGCCAAGATGGTGAAACCCTGTCTCTACTAAAAATACAGAAATTAGCTAGGCATAGTGGCATGCACCTGTAATCCCAGCTACTTAGGAGGCTGAGGCAGAGAATTGCTTAAACCCAAGAGGCAGAGGTTGCAGTAAGCCGAGATCACACCACTGCACTCCAGCCTGAGCAACAGAGCAAGGCTCCATCTCAGAAAAAAAAAAAAAAAAAAAAAATAGTATTCAACCCAATAGAATATTATTTAAATCATAGTTATTTAGACTATTTAGGAACAGAAATGTTTATGCTATGTTAATGCTAAAAACACAAAATTCATCTTCACTGTAAAGACTTTATATTATGCTTATAGACAAAAATGAGAAAGAAAACTAAACAAATGGAAATCATGAATGAGTGAACTTTATTCTTAAATTTTTCTTTATTATAATATTTATATTTAACAATTTTAAGTAACCAAAGCATAAATCTTGTGTTTTTGTATGCAGATTCAGCTCATACAAGATATTATCTCTTTTCCACAGAAAACATGCTCATTTAAAGCTAATTCAAATCTTACCTGGCATAAATAAAATACAAAAAAAAAAAAAAAAATCCCACTCTGACATTTGCTAGTTATGTAACCCTAGAAAATTTATTTCTAAGTTCTTTTTTCTTGTGAGTAAGCCATAGATATTATCTACCCCACAAGACCGTTAAGTGGATTAAACAAGATAAAGTTTTAAGGCACCCTAGTGTAGGATCTGGTAGGTACTAGGGGACTCTGCAAACAATAGCCACCATCACCATCATCATCATCACCTTCTCCCTCTTCCTGGCAATTAACACAACCAAAAGTGCCTTCCCTTCCCTTTGGCTGCAAGACCATGGTACCATGTGGGGATCTTCTGTGAAATCTGAGTATTCAGAAGTTATCACCTTCAAATTCTTCTAGACTGTAAACTCAGAGAGCAGGAAATGAGTCTTAACTCCCATGTTCCTAGCCCCTGTACTGTGCCCGGCACACACCACACACTCTGTAAATGTCTGTGAATGGGGCCTTCAGGAAGTCAACAACATCAACATGCAAAACAAGAATATCAAAAGAGTTGCGTTGTATTTTAATTGGCAACTCACGTGTTTAAGAGGAAGCGAGACTGCTGTCATGCAGAAAGGCAGAACTTTGTTGTGCTTCTTTACATTTGTTTTAAGTTTACTTTTATTTTTAATTCAATGGAATGGAAGAGGGGCATGATCTTTCCCAAAAAACTTAATCCAAATTAGGGAAAAGTCCATCAGAGGTAACCTACATTCTGATTTTAGGGGACAAATCTAAGGTTCCTCCTGAACACATATGATCCCACAGCCCTAAATATAACCTAAAATTTCCACGTCTCTAAATCATGTCTCATCACCCCAAAAATATTTAGTTGAAGAAGCTACAGAGTAACCATACTCTAGGGACCCCCAACTTCTCCCCAGCTGCTACTTTCTATTGTGGCTATTAAGTGGCAATACCCAAGAGAGATTTCTCTAAGTTTAAGAATAAATAAATAAATACAAACTCTTGTCTGATGATCCTCCCAGATCCCTGGGAGAAGTGGCTGGGACTACCCATTTCCCCAAGATGCCTAAGCTATGAAGGAGAACAGTGAGAGAATGAATGGGTCCCTACACAGAGCTAGGGCTCTGATTCCCAGGTCAGAGTTCTCTCAGGCTGACCATATTAACTTTAATTGTTGGAGGCAAGCGATCTGTCCAAGGGCTGCAAAATCTAACCAACTATTTACCTTCAAAAGAAGGTACAGGGGAAAAGCCTCTTGAGTACAGAACATATTATTTTACCCACTTCAGAAAAAAATTGCAAAATGTAATTTATTAGAACCTTCTGGTTATCAGAGGCGCAGGTGAACTTTCTGAACAGGCCCATTAGTGAAACTTTGCACAAATTTTCTGTTTTCAATCTATTCCTCAGCAACTTTAAACACCTGGTCTAAGCCAAAAAAAGTGGAATTCTCTGAGGTGAAGTGGTGGCTCCTCAGAAGTTCCACTCTTCAGACACAGAGAACTGAACTCCTTTACTGCTATTTGTGAAAACTGGGGCAGACTCCATAAAGATGTAAATATTTAACACTGTTTTTTATGATGTATCAAACATATGGTATTTTTTAAATTAAATGCATTACCAGTTACTTACATATCTATGCATATTTGTAGCTTTATCGGAAATAAATATATATATATATATATATATATATATATGGAATTAGGCCAGAATCACATTGTGAGCCTTAGGGTATTTCTTGAAGGATCCAGAACTCCCTTACCTCCTCGCTTCTCTACTCTCTCTTTCATATCAGCTTATACCCCAAACTCATCAACTTTCATATTTTTCCAAGTTATCTTTCTACAACACAATCTAATAGTGTCCCTTTCTAGCTGAACTCTCCCGGTTCACAGCACCCCTAAGCATCCCAGCAATTTTTTCACAGCAACCTTAAGCCAAAAGAAATGCCTGGCCAGGTACAGTGGCTCACGCCCATAATCCCAGCACTTTAGGAGGCCAAGGTGGGTGGATCACAAGGTCAGGAGTTTGAGACCAGCCTGGCCAACATGGCAAAACCCCGTCTCTACTAAAAATCCAAAAAAATTAGCCAGGTGTGGTGGCGGGCGCCCATAATCCCAGCTACTCGGGAGGCTGAGGGAGGAGAATCGCTTTTACCCAGGAGGCAGAGGTTGCAGTGAGCCGAGGTCATGCCATTTCACTCCAGCCTGGGCAACAAGAGCAAGACTCCATCTCAAAAAAAGAAAAGAAATGCCTTATGGTTCTGTTTATTTAGTAGTTAGATCAAAAAAACTTGGTATTTATGTTCTAGCAACTAATTAACCATTTGCAAAATATATATATATATAAGTTGAAAGAAAAAATACTTCACTCTGAAATAGCCCCAGTCCTTCACTAATGGGATGTGTGCCGCTGTTGGGCAATGCACAATGTCCCTGAATCGGATCAGCCCCTGCCACCCTTATTTCCCATTTCACATTGATTTTCACGTGGTGCTTGACTTTTACCACAGAAA